GAGGTTCTGTCCTGGGGCGGCTTCCCAAAGGGGCCAGAATCCCCCCCCCACATCTTCAGAGTGCTGGGGGTGGGAGGGCTCTGCTCCAGGGAGCAGGGGAGCTGTAGCCCAGCGAGTGGGGAGAGGCAAGAACGCGCTTCTGCCTGGGCACCCGGCCCGGGGCCCGCTCTGCCATGGGCTCCCAAAGCTCGACGGCCTCTCCTGGAGAAGGGGGCACCCAAGCAGGCGGCTGTGCAGGCTGAAGCGCCAGGGAGCAGAAAGGGCTGGGCCCGCTCAAGCAGCGGTGAGGGCAAACAGCAGCTCCTCGCGAGAGCCAGGGGCATCCTTGAGGGGGCCCCTCCCATTCCAGCCCTCCCTCCAGGAGCTGCCCAAAGGGGGGGTGATCCCAGCACTTCAGGCGCTGTTTCCCTGGATGGGCCTGCTGCGAGGGAAGCGCTCCCGTGACGATGCCAGAGGAGCAGCCGAAGACCCCGGGAGCAGCCGCCTCCCCCCGGGCTCCAAAGACGGTTTGACTTGCCTCAATGCCTGACAGCGCCACAAACAAGCGGAGGATGTCATTGGTGCCCTCAAAAATGCGGAAGATCCTCAAGTCGCGCAGGACTTTCTCCACTCCCGTCTCCTGCCCACAGAAACCAGCTGGCCTGCACGCGGTCCTGCTGGGCCTGGGCCCACCCTGGGGGGGCCTGGTCCGCTTCCTGACCCAGGAGACCCTGCCCAGCCCGGGGACTTACCTTCATGTATCCCATCCCACCCAGGATCTGGATGCTCTCGTCCGTCACGGTCCAGGCTGCCTCCTGGGGGCACAAACAGCAAGGACGACTGGCCCAGCCATGCGGGCCAGCCCCACCCATCCCACCCGGGGCCAAGCAGTGCCCCAGCTCAGGCCAGGGGGCTGGGGCTGGAGGCCAGCAGACCAGCGAAAGAGGCCGCTTAGAGCTGTGCCACCCTCTTGCGTGGAGGGTGCTGGTACTAGGCAGCAGGGTGCCAGTGGCCAACCCGTCTCGCCCCACTTCCCTCCACCCGTCGGGGACCAAGGGAGAGTCTCTGCAGCCGCTCGCCCGCCCGCCTGGAAGCCCAGGGGTGCAGCAGGCCTTGCTGCCACCCTCTGGAGCCACTTACGGAAGCAAAGATCTTGCTGATGGCGGCCTCCAGCTTGTAGTCAGGCACCTTCATGTCCATGTTGGCGCTCAGCACGTAGGCCATGGCCTGCAAGGGGCAGGGGCACTGCTGGCCAGCTTCACACCATGGGTCCCCGCCCTCTGAAGCTGTGCCCCTCTCAAGTGGGGGCCCGCGGCAGCCATTGAAGCCCGTCTTACAGGAGCTCTTGGGCTGGCAGAGGGACCAGGTCTCCCGCAGCGCAGGAGGCAGAGAGGGAGCTGACAGGCCGCACTCACCTCAGTCACGTAGAGCAGCATCGCCATGTGTGCCAGTTTCTCCTGGATGGCCCCGAAGCGGCTGATGGCTCTCCCAAACTGCTGCCGGTTTGCTGCATGGTCCACCTGTGGGTGCCCAGAGTGAGGACCCCCGGGAGGGAGGGGGCCCCCTTTGCCTAGGCGAGGTGCCACATCCCGTGGGCATTCTGGCCTCCCTGCCAGCGTACCGCCTTCAGGAGGACTCCACGCATGGTGCCAGCCAGTGCTGAAGCCATGCCAAAGCGGCCGTTGTTCAGGATGTGCATGGCCACCTGGAAGCCTCTGCCGAGCCCCCCCAGGAGGTTCTCCGCTGGCACCTTCACGTCCTCAAAGTGCACCTCGGCTGTGTTGGAGCATTTGATCCCCATCTTCTGCTCTGGAGGGCCACTGCAGGGCACAGGCACAGAGTGCGTGAGATCGCGGCTGCCACCGCCACAGCCCGGGACCAGCTCAGCTGGGGGACCCTCCCTCTGACAGGTACCCGGCTTGCCAAGGCCGCAGCCTTCCCCGTCCTCAGAGGGGACAGCGCGGCTGCCCAGGGATGAGCGCTGGAATGGAGACGGGGAGGAAGGAAGCCCATGCGCGCGAGGAGACCGCTTGCTCGGAGCTCGGCAGCTCCTTCGCACTCTCTCCCAGGCCCCCCTCGACTCACCTGCTCACCCCCCCAAAGGCTCGCTCCACTATGAAGGCCGAGATCCTGTCACTTTCCTCACCCGTAGTGACATTCTTGGTGCGAGTCTTGGCGAACACGGTGAAAATCTCAGCCGTGCCACCATTGCTGGAAGGGAGATGGGGAGACGAGGCAAGCTGCTGGCAGTAAGGGACAGAGCCTGGCGACAGCCATCCTGCTGGCCTCTTCTGCGCCACTGCTGCTGCTGCTCCTCCTCCTCCTCCCTCACCTGATCCAGATCTTGCTTCCGTTGAGGGTGTAGAAGCTCCCGCAGGGACTGAGCTCTGCTGCCGTCTTGATGGAGGCCGCATCTGAGCCGCTCGACGGTTCGGTCAGGCAGAAGGCCGCGTATACCTCACCTAGAATTAGAGAAGGAGTTGAGAGTCTTGCTGGGAGACGGGGCCAGCCTCGCCTAGTGCCCTCGCCATCTCCTCCGCGGACCCCTCACAAGCCTCCTACCGGGAGCTTTCTGACCTCCAGAAATGGTGCCAGTTCTTGCCTCCATGCATGTTGGAGCCCAGACCTAACAGATACTCACACGCACAGCCACACGTTCAGGTCTGGGCCCACTACCGCCACTCCCCACCACAACTCATGCCAGGTGCAGCTTTCCCACCGCCTGGTTCTGAGCTGTGTTGCCTTTGCTAAAGGGACACTTCCCCGTCCTGTCCCCAAGTGCCCCCTCACCCAGTATTTGGGCCAGGGTGTGGGTGTGGGTGTCACTGAGCCTACCAGATGCCAACTTGGGGAGGTATTTTTCCTTTTGGCTCTTGGTTCCAAAGAGAAGGATGCCCTTGAAGCCAATAGACTGGTGGGCGCCAAGGGTGATGCCCACGCCTAGATCATGCATCCCAACCACTTCCACCATGCGAGCATACTGTGACAGAGGAGGAGGCACACCATCAGGGAGGCTGCATGCGCTTTATCAGCTGGCCCCCAGCCCCCACCGACAGTCCTCCTGGTCCCCCAAAGCAGAAACAAGCCAGGACGGCACTAATCAGTCTCTCCGCCCCCAGAAAGGCGGTGCTCCTCCCTAGGAAGTTGGCCATGGACACAGAGCAACCAGAGAGGAGGCATCTTGCCCCTGTTCCTGGACTGCCCCTTTGCCACTTCCATGTCTGGGATGGGTGGAGAGCCCCCAACCCGCGCCAGTGGCTCTGCTGTGTGGCTGGGGACAAGGGTCTGCCCCCTGGGGGAGGAAGGATGTGGAGGGCCATGTGCTTCCTTCTGGCAGTCCCCCAAGAGTCTCACCTGGGTGTTGGTCAGCCCGATGCCCCCCAGCTCCTCAGGCACCTGCAGCCCAAAGCAGCCCATCGACTTGAGGCCCTCCATGGTGCCCTGTTCGATGCTGCCCAGTTCCTCATTTGCAGCAGCGTTGTTGACTTCCTGGCCAGTGTTCGAGCAGAAACAGAGCAAGCACAGCCTTCCTGCCAGGACTTTCTCTTGGGCGGGTGGGTCCGGTGGGAGGGAAACCGCAGTTGGGGCTTACCTCAAAGAAACGGGCACAGGGATCCACCATGGCTTGCAAGAACTGGGCCTGCTCCAGCGAGAGAGCTGAGGGCAACGGAGAAACTGCCAGGACAGGAGGTCCGCTGCCAGCCCCGAGCACCCAGAGGCTGGTCAGCAGTTCCTTCTGGCAGACCTGGAAGCTCAGCACCCCCTTAAGCTCATCCTCCGTGCCCTGACCCACCTACCTGAAGGGAAAGGAAGGAGGTTTTCAGGGGCCAGGTGTCCATTGAATAGGTTTTCCACAAACGATGTTGATTCCTAAAGGAAAACGCTTTTGTTCAGCCGGGCCTGCAGAAGGCTGCCCCGCCTCTCTTTTCCACTCCCATAGGCCCGCATGCACAGACCCTTCTGTTGAAGCCCAGGGCCTCAAGGACCTCAGGCTAGTGGGGAGCGCAGAGCAAGGCCCCTCCTGCTCTGTGAGATGCTGCCCTGGAGCCTGTTCCTTCACGGACCAAATGGAGCTGGGGGTAGTTACCTGAATCCTTCCCTTAATTTGGTGTCATCTGCCAGCACTTTCCACACTGGGGACGAGGAGGTGCTGGCAAGTGAATGACCCAGGTGAGTCCTGAAGGCCTCACACCCTGCACTGCTACCAGAGGCCTCAAACACTTCTCCGTCCCCTTCTTCCAGGACAGAGCCTCCTCCCAATCTCTTTTCGGGTGGGATCTCCATGGTGCCCCTAGGCTGGAGGGCACAGAAGATCCCTCCTCAACTCCTCCGTCCTGGCCTCACGGGGACCAGGATGGGCAGAACCACTTCCAGAGGAGATGCAGTCATCTTGCTGGTCAGTCCTCCTCACCTTCTTGGTTTGTCTGGAATATCTCACTTTCTGGTCAGTCACGAAATAGGAGGGAGACAGCAGCCTGCAAAAGGAGGTGCTGTCAGTCTTGGAGGGCAGGAATTGGGCCTCTGCCAACCCCATGCCCAGGAATCTTGAACGACCAAGAGCGTAGAATTTCTCAAGCTTTCGACCTGGCAGGGTTGGCATGCTCCAGGTCCCGTCAATTAAACAATGCCACCTATTGGGACCCTGGAAGCACGCCTTCTCTGTAGCAGCGCCCTGAATGAGGCTCCCCTCGAGATTCGAATAGCCCCCACCCTACTGGGGTTTCGAAGGGCCCTGAGGACATGGCTCTTCGCCCAGGCCTTTGGCGAGGGTGACCGGTGCCCCTTTCTTCCTTTTCTGTTCCTCTCTGGCTTCTTCAGGGGCATCTTCGTGCAGATTCACTTTGGGTCCCACCTTCCTTGGTTTTCTCAGTTTTGTTCACGAGACACGTGGAGCCACAGATCAGCCAAACACAGCTGTTGTGTGAACCAGGGCCCTTGTGTGTTTTGCAGTTTGTAGCCTTTTAGGGCAGAAGTTGCTGAGTTACGATTGCTTCCGTAGGCCCGACTGTGGCTCCCTTGCAGACGAACGTGGCTATTCCTCTGGGGACCGTCTTCCCCGATCCCTCTTGGTCAGTCTGGCCGGCCCGGCCGGCGCAGCCCTCTCCCCGACCAGCTCTTCTGTCCCTCTGCCGCAGGGCCTTGGGGATCCCTCTGAGTGGTGCATTCCTCCCCGGCTGCAGGCGTGGACCCAAAGGCCAGCCCACGGGGGCTGCTCCAGGCCCCAGGGGCTCCGACTGATGCTGGTGCCACCGTCCCACCTGGAAGGAGGCTCCCTTGCTGGACAGGTCCTTCTCCGCCCCCCCCTCCGCCTGCGGGCCCCAACCGCAACCCCAGCGGGAGGGGCCTCGTAGGAGGGGAGCCGCGGTGGGTGAGGGGGCGAGGAACCAGCAGTCTGGTAATGCCTCTCTGACTCACAGACATGCCGAGCGCCCCAGAGGACCACACCTTGGGCTGCTGCACCAGGAATACCTGAGCTTGGACGTGGCCAGCGACCTGCTGCAGAGCTGCCTCCACCTGTGCAGGGCCATCCCGCTCTGCATCAGCCGCATCATCCTCTGCTGCTCTCGGAGAAGCCCGGGCGGCGGCTGCGGGGGAAGAGGAGTCCCAGGCGAGCCACGCCTCGCCAGCCACCCCACCCCTGCCCCTGCCACCTCCCGCAGCCCTTAAAGGGGGCAGCTGAGGCCACCACCTGTCAGCCCTTCAAGGCAGGCCAGGTCAGGAAGCCGACCCCGCGGGGCAGCTGGAACGATACGTCGTGAGACACCCCGCCCGCATTCCCCTTCCCTCCCTCTTGTACCCCAGGGATGGATCGGGGGGAGGGGGCGTTAGTCCGAGCCTCTCTGTGATGCTCCTCCGCCTCTCTGGACGTAACATGCGGTGCTTCCCTAACAGCCTCCGGATGCCCTCTCCAAGCCACACCTGGCTCCCTACAGCCACACTGCCTGAATGTACTCGCAAGGCACAGCAGCACCGCTCGGCTGTCTTCTGCAATATGACATCATTACCCTCCAGATGAGGCTCTGTGACATCAGGGTGAGGTTCTGAGACATCCTCCTGTGGCCCTGGAACTTCCCTGGTCTGAAATGACTTTTTTTAAAGAAGAAACATGGCAGTTGGCTCACATGTGTCTGAAAGCAGTTGTTGGGGGCCCCAAAGGAGAAAGACGGTAAGGCGGCGAGATGGACCCCAGGAGCTCTGAATTCATGGCTTGGCTGCGCTCCAAGTAACTCATTCCATCTCCTACGCTCAGCCTGGCCTACTTCTGCAATCCACTTCTTAGCTGCTTCTCAAGTAAAAGAATAAACCATTCAAGGTACTACAAGCAGTTCCAATACAAAATACAAAAGCAGCTTTTCACAACAGCAAATACTACTAACCCTTGTAATTAAAGTCCAGGGAGAATGGAAGGATGTTGCGTACTTGGCAGAGTAGAAGGGCAGCTAGAAACAAAGGAACAACCTGTCGTGCAAGAAGACCTAATGAGGTGGGTGAGACGGAGGATGGAGACCTTGGTTGAACCCCCTGCTGCTGCTGCTGCTTCCAGTAATAGTTGTTTTGCTGGCAGACAACAAGCAAATTAGATCTCCCAGCCCATAGTATTGCCATCTTGACTGGATTATCTGGATTGCCCTCAGCCTCCCCCATGTGGCATCCAATTCATCAATTCCAGACCCCCCTTCTGAATGTTGGGTGGGAGGGAGCTGATCAGCAACATACTGGTGACCACAGCTCAAACTTTCAAGAGGTGGGCATGAACAAAGCTGTCCAAAGGCAAACGTCCCCCTGAGCCACCTTCTGAAAACACTGGTGCCATCGTAGCACCAGACCCTCCAACCAAACCAAGCCAGGCGCTGCTGGAGGAGACTGTGGTCAATGGCATCAAAATCACAGAGAGGTCCAGGAGAAGTAAGAGGGCTGTAGCCTCCTTGGCTATACCAGGAAGGTCATCCACTAGGATGACCAAGCCTGTTTCTGCCCCAGATCAGGTCCAAATTTGGATTGGAGTTAATCCAAATAATTATACTCTTCCAAGACAAGCCAGATTTTGAGAGGCCCCTGCCAGATCCAGAACTTTGCTTCAGAATGGAAGGTCAGACATAAGACAATAGTTACCAGAGTTCTGAGTCAAGATTTGGTTTGACTGATGATTGGTTTCTGATAAGGGTTTCCCTCTTGCCAGTAATGTAGTAATTTCATCCAAGAATTTGTAAGGCAGAAGTGGCTATTCACCAAGGCCAGCTCCAGTCTAATGTTCTCCCAATGAGCTGAACTACTCCAGCTGCCTGAATAGTCCCAGGGTATCTAGAGGGCCCCAGATGAGAAGACATGGCAGATATGCCAGCAGAGGGCAGCTGTCTTCCAGGCAGATGATGGTGCCAGCAGAAGTTGATCTAACCAGGTACTTCAGGAAGGGTGTGGTTGTGGGACTTCTGAGAAGTGAGCAGCTTTTCCAGGAGAGGCTCAAGGTCTTTGAACTGCAAGATGCCAGCCAAGAATCGTCTTGAGTAGAAAAGTCTGAACAGAACTCACCAAAGAAAATCCATGCTTTGTTGTACCAAACATTCTTCAATTCAGGTTTCGTTGGGCTTAGGGCCTGAGGAGGTGTTCCGTGGCTCCACTGATTAAGAACAGGAGGCAGAATTCCTTACTAGTCAACTATGGATGACCCAGAGACGTTACAGTAGATTCTGCTCTACCTTCTGCCAGCTCAGATCATTTCCTAATTGTGGCAAGGCCTTTCATTATGTGACCTCTTCTTTACCTTGGATAACCCCAAGTTGAGGCATTATGAACAAGGTCATATCTCCCCGCTCCCAATACCTTTCCAGATTGTCCAGAATTTATAACCCCCTCACATTCCTCCTTACTTGCTTTTTTAGAGGCAAAACCCTTTCATGTTGCAGCCATTCCTTGCCTCAAACCAACGGGGCCCTGAGATCACGCTGGAAATGCTTTCCTAAATCTGTCCCACTGCTGGTGTGGTGAGATGGAGACCAGAGTGGTTGGTGCCCTGCAGTTTGAATTATGGCCTTGCCAGTTTTATCTTCATTCTCCCTCCAAACGATCCACAACCCAGAATTTGCCCTTTTCACAAAAACGGCATGCTGGGTCAACATTTCAGGGTGTTACCACAGCAACCCCCCCCAAGGCGACGGGAGGCTGCTTTCTCCCCAGCCTCACCTCGCCCTCGCGTGCAGCAGGTTTCATCTGCTCTTGTAATATACCACTTGGAAACCTTTTGCGCTCATTCTTTGGGTTTTACTACCCTATGCAATTTGGTATCGTTAGCAGATTTAGACATGTCACTTCCTACATCTGCCTGTGGACCATTTATGAACAAGGCATCAGTCCCCGTGCCAATCTCTTGGAAGCCCCCTCTCTTTCCCCTTCATTACGAGAATGGCCTTTCAAAGGTTTTTATTCAAGAAGTAAATGTGGAGAGTCTGATAGGGCACTATTCGTTTCCTGTGTAATGCCGCACCACCAACTGTGCCAAGAAACTCCACCACGACTTAGGAAACGACCCTCGAGCGGCTCCTGGGGGGGTGGGGCTCCTGTTGGGCCCCTCTGCTTCAGCACAGACACCCCTGTTGGCCCTGCCAGGGATCCCGCTAGAACGGATCTTAAAAAATCAGGGGCTTTTGGTTAAAGACATCAAGGGGAAGCCCTGAAAAGCAAATGCATTGTCTGGGATGACGGCAGCGCCTTGGAGCCTCGTGGAGTCCCCGCTTAGAATTTAGACCTGGGGGATTGCAACAGCCTATCCTCGGTTTGGAGACAAGCCCACCTGGTCCTGAAAAGCTCCGGTGATGGGAGCTTATGGGGGACAGAGGAGGTGGCCGTGTGCCTTCTGGGAAATGAGTGGCTGGTGGACTGGCCGTGCCCAACATAGCCTCCATTTTGTGAACTGGCAACCTCCCCAGTGTCAGCCATTTTGTAAGAACAGCCCTAACATGCTGTCAAAATGACAAATGGCTGGGGATCCCTTTTTTAGAATGATTACCAAAGGGAATAAAATTTCATAAAATTTCTGAGTTTCCCTGTTTTTTGTTTTGACTCTCTAAAACTCTGAAACCTTCCCATTACTAATCATACACCAGTTATCTGGAGTAATTTTCTGATTTCTTTCTCACTCTTTGGCTGTCTTCAGACAAGCCACCATGCAGAAAAGGGTAACTAAAGTCCCATTATTCCCTTTGAACATGGAAGAGAAACATAATTCCAGCTGACTGGTATTTATTTATTTTTCACATTTCTATAGCCACAGTCCGAAGAAACTTGTTGGCTTACACAGTCTATAAAAACCAAGGAAAACATCCCTGGTAAAACATCCATACAAAGTGCAAAACACCACTACCCAAACATAAGCATACAAACAATAAAAACGGAAGTTGAAGATGGCTTAGTAAAATCTGGGGAAGGTTCTTTGAAACTACTCCATCTTCAAGAGCTCTGCTTCCCCAAATACTTTGGGAGATTTAGATGAGGGCCAGGAAGAAAGCCTCTTTCTACACCTTGGTTTCGCGTGGGTTTCATTTTGGCTGGCCTCAGGCAACACACTTAACCTGGTGTAGAATTAGCTGCTTTTCTGGATGTGCAGAACACGCTGAACTCCAACCAAGCAGGCTGGGTTTGCAGAATGTGCGAAGGGCGTTTCCCCACTACCGAGTTAAAATGTTATCCGCCCATCCTTGGGGTGGCAGGAAGCTGCCCTGGCATTAAAGGGCCACCCCCCTTGCCTCCCCTCCTGCCTCTGCTTTGGCTTGTGGCAAAACGGTGCTGCCTGGACGCGCAGCGCGTGCTTGCTAGCAAAACGCCTGGCGAG